AGAAGTAGTATAAAGTGAGAAATAGTATAAAGGAAGATGTTTATACAGACATCTACAATATACGATACTACAAAACAGTATTAACGACATACTGCCTTAGAAGTATGGACATAGAATGGTGGAGACTGGGGCAGCTAGTGGAGAGGCACCTAATACTACCTTGGGAAGGAAAGCAGATAAAGAAATTTCACAGAGTCATTAGTATTTGAACTAAGTCTTAAGGAATATGCCTGAGTCCACCCAGTAGGCTGGATGTGGGAGGGAGGTGTGAAAAGTCTCAGATGTGATAGACAATGTTCAGTAAGACTTGAATACAGGACACGTGAGGAGCGGAAGGAAAGTAAGCTAGAACTGTAGGGAAAGTACAAATCTTGAAGCACTTTATGTGCTACAGTAAGCAACGGGGAGAATTGACGCAATTAAGCAAAGAAAAAAATGCGATCAGAATTTTGAAATGGGAAATGTGGAGTATGGATTGGAGAGGAGCAAGTCTAGTGGCAGAGAGGTCAGCTTGGAGTCTCCTGTTATAGCCCAGTTAAGAGAAGATGATAATGGCAGTGTGAAATGGAAAGGCAGAAGTGGATGCCAGAGATATTTAGGAGATAGAAGGTACAGAGCTGAGTGATTGAATAGGGACAGAGTGCAGAGAGGGAGAGATCCATTGTCTGGCTGGGGACAGGAGGAGAAGTTTAGCGATGGAAGATACAAGTTTAGTGTTTGGATATGTTGAATTTGAGCTAAGCATGCAATATCTAGGTGATACACACTAAACAGTGGTTAATGTGTTGTAATAAAGTAGGTATCTGAAGGTTAGGTATAACTCCTTTGAGAAGTGGAAGAAGGACCTGACTAATGGAATGGAGAGACTTATCAAGTGACACAGAGGGCCCAGTTGAAGTTAAAAATCTGCATCTGTTTGCTCTGGTTCTCATCTGTACAATGGTGGGACTTGTCAAGGCATCGTATGTTAAATACCATGAGAAGGATGAATGTAACTTAGTTGCACTAGGATGGCCTTATTAACTCTTGCTTGGGTGGGCATCAGAGAAGGCTTCCCAGAACTGTGTTTTGGAGGAAGAGTTGAATTTTCCTCTATGGAAAGGTGGTGTGAGATGCTATTTCAGGCTAATGGAACAGAATGAGTAAATAAATATGTGGGGTTTTGAGTATGTGACTTCTTTGTGAAACAAGACAATTAGATTCTAGGAATGTATATGGGGTCAGGAAAGAGGCAGAGGAGAGGAATTTGGGGATTTGGGTCAGATCATGGAGAGCCTTGATGATTCTGTCAATGGATTGATTGGATTTTAGTCTTTAGGCATTATGGGGAGATCTGTGGGGAACAGAAGGACACAATCAACTTTGACATGGTTGTAGAATGTATTTAAGATAGTGGAGGGGGAGAGGTACATTTCCATTTTGAGTCATGGGGTCAGTTAAAGGATTGTTTGCCTAATTTTGTTACTCAAAGGGAACACATTGTCCTGGGGGGTTGGGATGTAGATATGGAAGAGGTATGTCCCCATTCCAGGAAGTGTCTTTCTCATCTTTCCCACCTTCCTGGAGCTGTACTGTTTTGGAGGATTCCTGGTCACCTAGTCCAGGACAGGTGACCCATTAAGTAGGCAGAAATAGCTTGAAAAATTGGGAACCTGTGAATTCGATTCTTGAATTCTCCCCTCTACTTGTGATGTAATATCAATGGGCCTTTAAAAGAGAAAAGAATGTGGTGGGGCACTAATGGACCGAGGTGGGTGGACTTTCCTTACAGAAGGAAGCCTGTGGGCCTATCCATATATGGCCTAGAAGGCAGTATAGACTCTGATGAATAGGAAAGGCGTAATCTTTATTTTTATCCTGTTATGGCTTTAGTGGACCCTTCTGGAAATGTCAGTTTCCTTTAGAGTATTGTCCTGGGTTTGATAAATAATCAGATTTGGGATTGCAGTCATGGTTTTATCATCTAGATCACTGTGATTTCTATTAGGAAAGCAGCCAGTCAGTGCCTCCAGGCCTGTAGCCATTCAGCATCCTGGTTCTGGACTTAACTCCAGGCCCTACCCTGGCCCAACTTAAGTTTGGGTCTGAGAAACGGGCCAAAGCTCATTGGGTGAATGCGTGGCCAAGCCTGCATTGCAAAATGGAAAAGGCTCAGCCACCAGGGCCTTTGGAGTTTGAGGACTTATACCAGATCTGGAATAAGCTCATGTGGCTTCTGAGGAAGGAAATCACTCTGTGCTCAGCCAGCTTAGATAGCCTGTTGAAGTGGTCCTTGGTAACAAAGCTGGTCTTGCAGTCTTGGCAGCCCTGACCCTTGATACAGGCTACTTTGGAAAGGGGAAAAGGATGACTGGAACCCCTGGGTAGATTTTGTCCCTTGATTTAAGTAGCTCCAAGGATGTTCCAAACTAAAAAGCCTGGGCCAGCAAATACAGGTAGGAAGGATTCTGGAAGCCAGTCATCTGGGCTCTGCGAACTGCCTAGTTGTCCCGAGGACCTCTCCCTCTCTTCCATGTCCGTCGGAGTTTAGCTGGCATTTTCTTTGGGTTCCTTACTTATAGGACTGAATCTACTAACCTTTCTGCCCTTTTTTTCTGCTCTTTCTCTCCTTGCAGAAGGAAAGCGAGGAGCCCTTCAGGTTGTGCCTATGACCCTTTGGGTCCTTTTTTGTCTGTTTCCCTCCCCTCCTTCCCGAACACTGTATGTGTGTGTGTATGTGTGTGTGTGTGTGTGTGTACATGCACATGTGCGTGCATGATCTGTGCCTCTGAGCTTTGGCTCATGCAGTCTATTTTTCTGGAAAGCAGTTTGTGTGCATGCTCCTTGCTTGTGTGTGCTCCTGCAGATATCCCTGGAGCACATTGTGAGAATGTGTGTGTACTAGCATGGATGTGCATTCAATGTAGCATGTGTGTGCTTATACTTATACCCAGTTTGACTCCCCCAGACACTGATTACCCTCCTTTTCTCCTCCTCTGCTCAGTGTGTGTCCATTTTCTACCTGTTGCTGCAAACTCTGGCGTATGCTGTAAAACCTTGGCTGAGCCTAGCACGCATGTGTACTTTGTATCTGAGAGCAGGCTTTGCTGCAGGCATTTCGTGCCTCTTGCCTGAGGCCCTAAGTGTGAAAGTACTTGTGCTCTGAACAGGCTTCCTGACCTCTCTGTTGAGCACAAGCTTCTGTAGACCTGTTGTGTGGTTTCCCCAAACCATATGAATGCATAGTATACTAATGCCCTGTGCTTGCAGGCACCGGCTTTTGAAGACCATGAGGATTTGCTTTGCCTGTGATTTGGGCCATAGTAAACATTGTGAATCCTCCTCAAATGAGTTTCTGCAGATCACTGTATACTCTGAAGCTTGTATTCTGAAGCCATAAGCCTAGGATCCATGCTCACCATGTGTTTCCTTCAGACACAAGTTGTATGTGCTGTGTGTGCAGGCTTTTGCAGACATATTGTTATCCCCTCTGAGCACAGGAAATGTGCATGATCTCAGGCTCTCAAAGACTTTTTGTGACTTTGTTTCCTTAAGCTCGGTGGTTTCTAGCAAATATCTCACTCTAAGTAGGAAATAAGAATCTGCTGAGTGTGGTGGCTATTGCCAGAGGGAAGATAAGTTCTGGTTGGTAAGATCTGGGGATTTAGGGATTGGCTCCCCCACACTCAACCCTTACCCCTTCCATAAGCAACCTTAGAAGACTTGCAGTTTTTCTGTTACTTCCCACCTACTGTTGTTTCTTCTATACCATCCTCATTGTCTTTTGCTTCAGCCACTTCTGGCTGCCTTTTGGACCTGGCCCTCCCATTACCAATATCATCCTACCTATAGAAAGGATAGGAGGCAGATGGGGTGGAATGGGGGCTCTGGGCAGTAGGGAGATAGGCTTGGTTAAAACAGACAACCTAAGAGGAGTCTTAAATCCAAAATTCAGGTAAGCCTACTGCTGACCCAGGTAATTCTCCCTCACTTTTCCATCACCGTTAGCTCTGTCCTGTCTGTCCCTATTTTCCTTTGTATTGCCTCATTCTATCCGTAACTTCTCCCCACTTTAGCTCTCCAAAACATCGCTCACTGTTCAAAGCTAAGCACCTTAATTTTGCCTCCCTTCTGGAGCTCGTTTGCTCCAGGATAGTTAGGAGGCAGGGAAGTTGTTGGGGGTGGAAGAAAACAAGGAGGGGCAGGAATCCCCAGACCTGTTAGCCTGAAAAAAGCATGTGCTATTGGATCTCTGGAGCACTCTGGCAGCTTTGGAACTCTCTGCATGCTGCTTGAAGGATTTGCTTTTGTTTATTGTGTTTTCTTTTGGTACAGAAACCTTTAAAAGGTGATTTTTGAACTGTTCCCTTCCTTGAATTATTTGGTGCCTCAAGTTTTGACTTCTCATTCTAGGGCCTATAGAATTAACTAGAATGATAATCCAAGTGTCTACCCTGGGTTCTGTTGTTATATAGAATTTATTAAATGGAGAGAATATACTCAGTGTCAGTGAGTCAGGGGTTCAAGGCACCCAAACTAAATCCAACCACAAAATGAGATAGGAATCCAGAGAGACCAGGTCTGACTCTGGGACATTAAGGGAGTTTAGGAACATAGCTGGAAGAAGATTGGACTGTATATGAAGGTGTTCTTTTGCTTTAGTGAGGCCTGGAAGCCTACATAGGCTCTTCTCCTGTGCTTGGTTTACTACTGTCTATACCAATGGCTCATATAAGAGTCATATGAGTTCTGCCATTCCAGTAGACTTTAGTCCTGGGACCTCAGTGAGCCAAAGCTCCCTTATGCCCTATTCACCAAGGAGACAGGTATACCACTCATTTCGGCAGCCTGCTTGTTGCCCTGGCTGATCAGGACATTGGTTTAGATGTCAGACAGGCTGTCACCACATGGTGAATGTGACTTACGCTGCTCTGGGCTTGTATTCTACTGCTCGCTGCTTGGGTTACAGGCAGTCTCCCATCTTTCCCAGGATCTAACTTGTTTCCTATCTCTTTTTAAAGATTCCAGATGATGGTGACCCCTCTCTGCCTCAGTGGCTCCCGGAAGGGTAAGTGATTCCCTGCAAGATTTCTGTTGATTGTATTCAGTATCTCTTGACGCTTTTAGCTTTTCCCCTGAGAAGCAGGGGAAACAGCTTCATAAGCTGCATCCTGGGGAAGGAAAAGGTTCCACTATAGGTTGGTTGCTTCTCTGAGGCAGAGGAGAGAACTCTGCTGACGGATTCCTCAGACGCAGAAGAGGGATCTTTGCAGAATGGTTACGCTGGGGCAGGGAAGGGAGCTTTGGGGCCTTCTCATCCTTGCCTCTGTAATTTCTGGTCCATCTTTTCATAGTGGTGATATACCCTTTAGGTAGAGCAGAGAGAAATTAGAAAAATATCTGCATTTGGAAACATATTCTTTCCATTTCTTTTGTTTTTTAATTTTTGTGAGTGCATAGTAGTCTATGTGTCTGTGTCTATTTATGAGTTACATTAGATATTTTGATACAGGCATACAGTGTGTAATACTCACATCAGGGTAAATGTGGTATCCATCACTTCAAGCAGTTATCCTTTCTTTGTGTTACAATCCACTTATACTCTGTTATTTTAAAATGTGCAATAGATTGTTGTTGACCGTAGTCACCCTGCTGTGCTATCAGATACTAGACGTTATTCATTCTGTCCATTCCACTGTTGATGGTGTGGCTGATTAAGTTACTCCCTAGGCTTGGTCCTGTTCCAGCTGTTGTGAGTCATCTACTTATTCCATTCCACTGTAGTCAGGACATAAGTAACATCCCTTTCTGAGCTCTGTATGTTCTGTCTGTGCTTCTTGTTTGGGAGTTTCAGACCCGTGTGATTGTACCAGAGTCATTTTAAGCTGCTCAATGTGTTATTAAAGAGAGAAGAGAGTTCAAGTACCTTCCCATTCCCCACTCCTTTCCACAAATATCACCAATTACTTATCTGTACCTTCCTTTTCCCTTTTTCCTACGAAGGCTTCTGACATCAGAATTTTCAGTAGTTGCTTCCTCTTGTGGCCAGGGAAGAAGAAAGATCAGGTAGATGGTCTACTACATTTTTACATGCTCCTTTCCCTTGCAATTTGTTGTCTTTAAAAAAAAAAAAATTTTTTTTAACTTTTGTTTTAGGATCAGGGGTACATGTGCAGGTTTGTTATATAGTTAAACTCGTGTTACAGGGATTTGTTGCACAGATTATTTCATCACCCAAGTACTATAACAATAGTTATTTTTTCTGCTCCTCTCCCTCTTCCTACCCTTCACCCTCAAGTAGGCCCATGTCTGTTGTCACCCTCTTTGTGTCCATGTGTTCTCATCATTTAGCTCCCACTTACAAGAAAGAGCATGCAGTGTTTGGTTTTCTGTTCCTGCATTAGTTTGCTGAGAATAGTGGCCTCTAACTCCAGCCATGTTCCTGCAAAGGACATGATCTTGTTCTTTTTTATGGCTGCATAGTATTCTGCGGTGTATATGTACTATATTTTCTTTATGCAGTCTGCCATTGATGGGCATTTAGCTTGATTCCATGTCTTTGCTATTGTGAATAATGCTGCAGCGAACATACTCATCCATCTGTCTTTATGGTAGAACATTTTATATTCCTTCCTTCCGGTATATACCCAATAATGGGATTGCTGAGTCGAATGGTGGTTCTGTTTTAGTTTTTTGAGGAATCGCCACACTGCTTTCCACAATGGTTGAATTAATTTACACTCCTACCAACAGTGTATAAGTGTTCTCTTTTCTCTGCAGTTTTGTCAGCATTTTTTTTTTTTAAGTTTGTCTTCTTTTAATCAAGAGTGAATCATTGAATGAGCTACTGCCTTCTTTTATTGAAAGATTGTTTATGTTAAAAAAAAATTTCTTGGATTAAGAGATACATATTGTAGTTTCTAGAATTAGCTACAAAGTTGTGGCACCAGTTGCTTCAATGATCTTTAGTTTTTTTTCCTTCTAATAATTGTAAACTACATACATATCAATGGGACATATCCAGACTATTTTTAAATGTAGCCATGCAGTAGTTTTCTAAATAATTCCCTATTGTCTTTCTTCCTTTTGTTTCACCTTAGTCCTTAGAAGCTGTCCTAAGTATAGAACTTCCCTCGGTCTGGTAATCTCATTAAAAACAAAGCTCTCTGCCTATGTTCAGGGAGTTAGTTTATTAGAAATCAGCATATTGAATGGCCTGTTTCAACTTCTGGACTTGACCCAATTTGTGGTTCCATTCTTTGCCTAGATAGCTACAAGTACCTACTTTTTCTGTTGGAATATTTCTGTCTTTAGACCAGCCGTGGTATACAGCCCAGCTACCCAACTTTCCCAACGTCTTTGCTCTCATTAAAACCGGGTATATGAGTTCTTTTCATTAAGGCCAGAGAGTTTTTTGTTGCTCATCCATCTCATTTTATAGAAGTATCACCAAGGCCTAAAGTGATGAAGGAATTTTGGGAGAAGACATAGTACATTAATAGAAGAACTGGAGTTAAAATCCAGGTTATCTCAGTGTAATTTCTTTTGGGTACATTTTCTGTTTTTATTGCATATTGTTATAAAAGAACAATAAAATTAATCAGTATAGAAAAGGTATAAAAGTTTTAGAAATATCCAGCTGCTGTAGCTGTAATTTTTCCCCAGGCTCTATTGATGTGTCCATAGGGCTAGGCCACACTCACAGAGTCCCTTTGCTGTTTCCTTCCTAAATGGTGTTTTGTTTTGTTTTTTTCCCTTAAGTGGTCTGTTGGAAGTCTCCCATACCACCTCCCCTGCTTCCACTTGATTATGCGGGCTCCTTTCTCCACGGAGAAGGCTTTTCTTCAGGAGGCCTAGGTAGACAGAACTGGTGACTCTTTTACTCTTGGTTGGAGATGGTGTCCTTCTATGTGCCATTATCTGGTAGTCTTACTCACCTAGACTCTTGCCGTAGAGCCACCTGTGGGTTCTGTTCTAGCACAGGCTTGGCAAGACTTATCTTTGAGGAGCAGTGTCTTTGCCTTGAGTTTGGGGAGAAGCCCTCTTGAGTGCCAATTACTACCTTGCCTTATGGAGCACAAAAGTGCCTTCAGATAAACTGAAATGCCTTGAACTATCACTGTGGGATAAAAGAGGCTCAGTCCTCAGCTGAAACTATAAGAGACACTGAGGGGTACTGTGAGAACAGATTCTATTGCTCACTCTTCCATGGCTTTATTTCCCTGACTTTCTGTCTTCCCTTCCGGTCTCAAAGGCACATGATAGAGGTCAGTTCATCTTCCTCTGGGGAGAGGGAGAGCAAGGTGAATGGAACACTGAACACCAGTTAACTCAAAGCAAGACTGAAGGTCCTGACATATTTCCTTCTCTCCTCAGGCCAGCTGGAGGGCTCTATGGCATTGACAGCATGCCAGATTTACGCAGAAAGAAGCCACTGCCACTTGTCAGTGATCTGGTGAGTGAAGACTTTTGTGCAGGCATAGGCAGTAGCCTTGGGGTATCCCCCATTGGGCCTTGACAAGCTGTCAGGATTGGAAGTCGTCCATTTAATGACTCAAATTGGTCTGATGATCAATCATTTAAAGCCTTCTGAGACTTAGCAATGGCTTCACAGGGACTGTGTTCTACCTCACTCCCTAGTCGGAGTCCTGAATTTATTAGCTCAAGCTCCTATCTGGAATATTTGTGGCTTGGGCTCTCAAAGTTAGGATTTTGTGTCTTCCTATAGGCATCTAGCTCTTACAGGTATCTCTACAGCCTTCTTTGATGACCTGTAATGGAAACTGCCTCCAGCCCTTGACCTAGATCATTGAGCTTGGTATGGGATGAGCATGACTAGAGCTTGATGCCTTCTTGGAAGTCAAGCAAAAGTTCTTCTCAAGACATAGGCTTTCGAGACTATCTCTGTAACCTAGTGTCAGGCGCTGAGAGGCAATGATAAAAATTTGTGGAATTGAATTGAAACAGGCTTAAGAGTTAAAGCTGATTCCAGGACCTCCTCCCATCCTCCCAGGATGACCAGAAGCCCCATTCTGGGTCATACCTTGTGAGGCACAAACAGCCCAAGGAATTTTCTGTAGCCTTGTGGGTAGTTGGGGGTGAAGTGAGGTCCAGGCTCTCTCAGAGCTCTAAAGCCAGAAATAGGGTGTAAGGGTTCGGTTAAACATGAACCCTTTTCCCTTATTACCATTTCCTGTTTCTGTTTTCTTTTTTGCTCTCTATTCTATCTATTGTTTTTCCTATCCACTCCTCTTCCCTCTTCCCCATTTCCTGCTCCACTAGTTTCTCCCTCCTTAGTTGACTGAAAGTATCATCTGCCATTTTCTCTTCATCATTTTTCTTCCCTTCCATTATTTCTTACCATTTGTTCATCTTCTCCTTTCTCTCTCTTTCTCTCTTTCTCCTTCCTTCCTTCTTTCTTTCTTTCTTTCTTTCTTTCTTTCTTTCTTTCTTTCTTTCTTTCTTTCTTTCTTTCTTTCTGTCTGTCTTTCTGTCTTTCTGTCTTTCTTTCTTTTCTTTCTTTCTTTCTTTCTTTTTCTTTCTTGAGACAGCATCCCACTGTGTTGCCCAGGCTGGCCTCAAACTCCCAGGCTCAAGTGATCCTCCCGCCTCAGCTTCCCAAAGTGCTGGGTTACAGGCGTGAGCCACCATGCCCGACTCCTCCTTTCTAATGTACCTCTTCTACCAGCTCTTCATTTAGCTGGTTGAAGATAAATTCTGATGCCGTCTCTTCTTCAATACCATTTTCCTTTCCTTAATGTCTCTCATCTCCTCTTTTTTCTCTTCCTTTTCTTCCTACTTTTTTTCCTCATCCTTTCTCACTCTTTGCCCACAAGCAAGCATCCAGTTTATTTCTTGCTCTCCCTCTCTGTCTTTTGCCCTATCTTTGGCTTTATGGCATAATACTCCTTAGAGTAGGTACTCTAGGCTTTGGGTCCTAGCCAGTAGTCTGGATTGAAGACAGTTTTTAGTGGACAGAAGCAGAGTGGATTGGGAAATGCTTTGCACTATACACAAGAACCTCTCAGTTGCCTCTGAAAGTTTTCATGCCTTTTCGGGTCTTTAATATCATGTTGTTCCTTTCTCTGCTGTCCTCTACACAGGCTATGGTGAGTGTCTCCAGAGCCCTTTCCCAACCTCTTTAAAAGTCTGCATCCCTGGCTGGGTGCAGTGGTTCACGCCTGTAATCCCAACACTTTGGGAGGCTGAGGTGGATGGATCATGAGGTCAGGAGTTCGAGACCAGCCTGACCAACATAGTGAAACCCTGTCTCTACTAAAAATACAAAAAAATTAGCTGGCAGTGGTGGCGGGTGCCTTTAATCTTAGCTACTCGTGAGGCTGAGGCAGGAGAATCGCTTGAACCTGGGAGGCGGAGGGTGCAATGAGCTGAGATCGCACCACTGTACTCCAGCCTGGGTGACAGTGCAAGACTCCGTCTCAAAACGAACAAAAAAAGTCCGCATCTCAAATCACTTGGGCCCTTCCCAGCTGTTCCTTCTGCTCAGGCTGATATTTTGACTTCTGTCTTCTCAGTGTCCTCTGCCTTTAGGAAACCATGTGCCTCTCCAGGGGCTGCCCCTAAAGCTTGGGCTTGGCAGATACATGGGGCCCCCTATGCAAGAGCGTGGCTAGCAAGGTAACCCCAGCTCTCAGACTTAACTCCCTGTCCTGCTTGATTTGACTGAGGCTTCAATGCCCCTTTCACTTGCCAAGTGCCCTACATGTAGACCTGCTGGCCTCTGCAGCCTCCCAGGGATTATATGGGCTTGGGGAGGTGCCAAGGTATAGAGGTTACCATGGAATCATTTTTCTCCATGATGGCTCTTGAATGTGACTTTGACAGAGTTGTGTGTCTCTGTTATTCTTAATTACCTTTTTTCTGCTATAGTTCTAAGCTTTTCATTTTCCTTTTCCTTCCCATAAACAAGGAGTTTCTGTGGGGTAGGACACTAAGAAGAGTGAGGGAAAAAGAAACTCTTTGGATGATAGATACCCTGAAGAAAGTGCTGTTCTAACATAGTTAAAGAAGCCCTCTGAGGGCCTTGGGTTTTGCATCTTAACCTGGGACACTTGTCACCTGTTAGGGCCATTGCTGTGAGTGACAATAAAAATAGAAAGTACTATAGTAAGCTATAGTCAAGTGGCTTTGGTCACTGAAGCTCCCTTCCCAGGACTTTGCCAGCCCTTGGTGGTGGTCAGGGCTAACAGCAGATCTTCCCTCACAGTCACTGGTCCAGTCTCGGAAGGCAGGAATCACTTCTGCAATGGCTACACGCACTTCTCTTAAGGACGAAGAGCTGGTAAGTAACCCATGTGCTTTCATAAGTCCACTGGCCTCAGGACTGGTGATCATCTCTGTAGTCATACAATTAATAACTGGGAATTCTGGGAATTCAAGAGTGCTGGGCACACATTGCTGATGAAGAAGACAGATAGCATCAGGTGTTAGTTTTCCACACTGGGTAAGGCTCTAAGCGAGTCTAGATCAGAGGGTAAGCCCAAGTCTCATGTTGAAGGGTGTGACCGCTGAACTCAGGGTTTTATGATGGACCAAGTACCTTCTGTTTTCTTAGAAAGTGTAAATGCTGCAACAAGGCTCAGGTTCAGCATCAGGTCCAACCTGTGTTGGACAACCAGGAGCACACTATATTGTGGGCCTCATTCTGCTAGGCTGGGCTATGGGCTGGGCCAGGATAGAGCATCTTCTTCATTGCCAGAGGAGACATGAAATCAAGGTCCTGATTGTCCCACAGGGTCTCAGTTCTGGTATCTCCCTGCAGAATCCAAAAGTCATGGGGAATAGCCATGGTGGCTTACGCCTGTGATCCCAGCACTTTGGGAGACCGAGGCAGGTGGATCACTTGAGGTCAGGAGTTCGACAAGCCTGACCAACATGGTGAAACCCTGTCTCTACTAAAAATACAAAAATTAGCCAGGCGTGGTAGCATGTGCATGTGATCCCAGCTACTCGGGGGCTGCGGCATGAGAATTGCTTGAACCTGGGAGGTGGAGGTTGCAGTGAGCTGAGATCACAGCACTGCACTCCAGCCTGAGCAACAGAGCAAGACTCTGTCTCAAAGCAAACAAAAAACAAAAATCATGGGATGGGGTATGTATCTTTCAGAAATCCCACGTGTATAAGAAAACCCTGCAGGCCTTAATCTACCCCATTTCGTGCACCACTCCTCACAACTTTGAGGTCTGGACAGCCACTACCCCAACCTACTGCTATGAGTGTGAAGGCCTCCTCTGGGGCATTGCCCGTCAGGGCATGCGCTGCAGTGAATGTGGAGTCAAGTGCCATGAGAAGTGCCAGGACCTGCTCAATGCTGACTGCCTGCAGCGTGAGTGCCCTGTGGGGTGAGAGGCAGGGAGTGGGGCAGTAGGGGCTCTGGAGGGGCTTTCCAAAATAGTCTGTGGCAAAGAGCTGGCATGGCTGAACCAATCATTCCCCCAGTCCATCTGATTCTGAAACCCTATCCATTTCATTCTCCCAGTCCACCTGATTCTGAAACCCTATCCATTTCAGAGAAGGTAGGATTCTGAATCAAGGAGCCTTGCCTTTCCAAATAGCAGGTCTTACACTACCTTCTTAAGCACCTTTAGGAAAAATTCTTTGAGCTTTCTGTGGCCTTCTAATGTAGCTAGAATCTCTTCTAGGATTCAGTTGATCCCAGAGACTGAGCTTTGCAGTGTATACAGCACAGCGGCCTTATAGTCCAAATGACAAAAGCATCAGGATCTGAGACTAATGAGAGGAAAGAAATAGTTTTGTGGGGTTCCAGGCCCCACAGAGGAACCTCCCAAAGCCTGGAATCTAGGACTCAGGGAAGGCAGCATTCATTGCTTGTTTTTAGACAATAGTGCCAGAAATAAAAGTGTCAAATGAATGTGACAGACGTCCAAGAGGAGAGTATGCCAGACCCCCACAGCCTTGGCTAAATATATGACTTGTCCTGCCATGATGGAGTGGGGAGAATAGGAGCAGGAAAAGCAACAAGTTCTTGTCAGAGAAAATGGTAGGGGTCAAAGTTCATATCTCCTTGCTACCCTCCTGCTTTGCTTGCACTCACTGTGGCTGGACCCCAGGAAAAGCAGGGGTGAAGGAAGTGGAAACTATTTTCCTGCTCTCCAGACCTCCCAGGTATTACCGACAAGCCAGGCTGTAGCACTGAAAGCTTTAAGGATTGTGCTAGGAGAGGAAGGTCACCTCTAGACAGACCCACAAGTACTTCATTATCCCAAGGACAGCTATGACATATAAAAGGGGACCAGGGAGAGGCCTTGAGAAATTATTCATGGAAAATGTCCTTTGAAGAGCCTCAAATTGGTGCCAGTGGCATGGCTAAGTTAGACATGAAGAAACAGGTAGGACAGAGTCAGCAGAAGAGATGGGCTCTGAAAAGACTGCCTGAAGACAAATGCTAGTAATGACTTGGCCAAAACCCATCATGAAGAGGTGGCAAGTGCAGGTTCCAGAGGGCCTTTGCCTTAATTGCTAAGAAGTAGCAACCAGGCTGGCTGCATAGTTTCTCCGCTGCTCTGCAGCCTCTCCTGGGCCCCATTCCTCAGCTCAAAGCCTTGGTCTGGTATGTGACCTGTTGCTTAATCCTAATTTCTGTTCCTGGCCACGTTCAGGGGCTGCAGAAAAGAGCTGTAAACATGGAGCTGAGGACCGGACCCAGAACATTATCATGGCCATGAAGGACCGCATGAAGATCCGAGAGCGAAATAAGCCAGAGATCTTTGAAGTTATACGGGACGTCTTCACAGTGAGCAAAGCTGCCCATGTGCAGCAGATGAAAACAGTGAAGCAGAGTGTACTGGATGGCACCTCCAAATGGTCGGCCAAGATCACCATTACTGGTGAGCAGGCCACAGTCTGAGGGGAGAGGAAGGCCTGGGCTATGGGAAGGAGCCTGGGGAAGAAGCATCCTGAGCATGAGGGAGCAAGGGATTGGGAAGAAAGAAAAAGGAAATCACTGGGAAGGAAAGTCCTCATTATTCATCAGTCCTCCTTACCTAGATCCTGGTGCCGGAGAGGCAAGACTGCTATCTGCAAACAACATGAACCATAATACAAGGATTTGCTAACAACCTAACACTGTAGATTGGCTAACAGTTTGATATTACAAGAGGTGGGGGGAGGGGGAAGGGGAAAGTCAGGGGACCAGGGAGTAGTTAACCAGTGGTTTGCTAACTGGGTGGGGCTGAAGCATGTATATATCAGAGGGTATAAGGACCAGTGTAGAGACAAGTGGTCAGTTAGGGGTTGGGTAGGGAGATGGGATGCTTGGGCTTTAAAGGAAAGGCTCGTGGCCCAGGAAGAAGAATAAATATGGAGGAATGGGATTATGGTATCTGTGCAAGGAGCATAGACTGCTTTAAGATGGAGAGCATATGAGTAGTGCTGTGGAGGGCTTCTGACCGACTCTGAAGCCTCCTGTACATGCTTGGGTTGCAGTGGTGTGTGCCCAGGGCCTACAAGCCAAGGACAAAACAGGATCCAGTGACCCTTACGTGACTGTGCAAGTCGGCAAAACCAAGAAGCGTACCAAGACCATTTTTGGAAACTTGAATCCTGTTTGGGAGGAAAAATTCCATTTGTAAGTCACAGAGAGCTTTGTCTTACCTGGGACTGTGTGTATTGGGGGAGCAGGATCACATCCTGCCATTCTGGGCTTGAACTTGAAGATTGGGCAAAGGCAGGGGAGAAAAATCCATTTCTCACATGCTTTGCTCAGGCATCAGCCATTCTTTCTCCGGTTTTCTTCTCATGACCTGTTGTGTCAGGGTTACTATGCCCATGCCCTGTCTTCACCAGGGCTATTAAAGGGGCCCTAGGGCACCCCATCCTGCTTTTTCTAGCAGTAGAAAGATTTTACTACTTTACTGCTCAGTGACAGAACCAGGGACTGACTGCCTTATTGTACCTCCTACCCTTGCCTAGGAAGGTACAGTAGGGTTAGGCTCTCGTAAGGAAGGCTGTTATACAGAGTGTGGAGGGAGTGTCCTTGTCCTAAAACTGGGTAATTCTGGCTTGAAAGTGGAAATCTAGGTCCTGAAGTTGCTGTTTCCCATAAAGGTAGTGTTTCTTCCTGCCTCAGCTTCTACCCTCACTGATTTTTTTATTATCTCACTTTCTTATAAACTATTTCTTATGACAGTAAAGGATGGTTATTGAAAAATGACAAACTAATATCTGGAGAATCAACATGCTTTGTCACTCCCCAATAAGGCCTAGGGTCCAGATTTTGGATTTGAATCAGCCAAGCAGGCTGGCTATGTAGAGGCCTCCTTCTGTTGGCTCCTCAGAAGATTCATGTAGAGAGGGATTAGGGCCAGCACGGTGGCTCACACCTGTAATCCCAGCACTTTGGGAGGCCAAGGCAGGCAGATCACCTGAGGTCAGGAGTTCCAGACCAGACTAGCCAACGTGGCAAAACCCCATATCTACTAAAAATACAAAAATGAACTGGGCATGGTGGCAGGCACCTATAGTCCCAGCTTACTCGGGAGGCTGAGGGAAGAGAATCCCCTGAACCTGGGAGGTGGACGTTGCAGTGCACCAAGATCATGCCACTGCACTCCAGCCTGGCGACAGAGTGAGACTCCGTCTCAAAAAAAAAAAAAAGGATTAGGATATAGTAAAATTAATCTCTAATCCAGAGATAATAGCTACTAGGAGAAGCACCTGTTTGAGAATCTGAATAGTTCCTGCTTGAATTCTTCTTATGACTAATTTAAAATCAACTAGCTCTTGGTCGTTTTTGCCCACTTTTAGTAAACAGTTTTTTAAGCTCATTTTCTGTACAAGACACTATACATAAAATAGTGTATCTAAAAATGAATAGAACAATCCCTGGCTTCAAGAAGCTCATTGTTGTGGTGGTTATACTGTAATATTTTAATGGAATGTGGAAAGATGTCATAAGAACATAGGGAAAGGAACAGCAAATTTTGCCAGTTACAACTTTTGGGTGAAACAACAGAACCCAGAAAGCAACAGTTGGAGAGGACAGCTTGAGAGAAGACCTGGGAAAACTCCTTTCTCCAAAGCAAACCTGATAGAGGAGATGACATTTCAATGGGATATGATAGGATAATATAGAAGCTCACCAAGCACGTAGTTAGGCAGATGGGGGAGTTCGATAGAAAGCTAAACAGTTATAACTATATGGGCCTACCATGGGCATGTGTAGCATCTTTACTGACTTCATGTCTTAGGCTCTGAGGATGGAGCTAGCAGTTGCTTCCTGGAGCTCCGTGGCATATCTAGCTGTTTTCCTCTTGGTGTTGCTGATACAGCTAGCTGTATAGGAAGTCAGAATTGACCTGAATTACTCTTCCCTCCACCCCTTGCCCTTTGTTCTAGGACAATAAGAACTGTACAGTAGTAGATAGAGCCACCCAGGCCGAGGAATGAAGAGTCATTTGCTGGGATAGCCCAACTTTTTTGGAACTTTAGTATTGCTGTCCTCTGACTTCTCTACTTCCAGGCCCTCAAGTGCAGCTGTCAGAGCTTTTGGGAGGGAATAGGAAGTAACAGGATTTGGCGCTACTGGGTCTGCCCCTAACAGAGCCTGCCTAATTCTCTCACAGTGAGTGCCACAACTCCTCTGACCGCATTAAGGTGCGTGTGTGGGATGAGGATGATGACATCAAGTCAAGAGTAAAGCAACGCCTAAAGCGAGAGTCCGATGATTTCCTCGGCCAAACCATCATTGAGGTTCGGACCCTAAGTGGCGAGATGGACGTCTGGTACAACTTGGGTGAGGAAACTGGACCCAAGAAAGTTGCTTGGAAGGGAGAGCATGAAGGGGACCTAGGAATAGTCCTTCTACCAAAACCACCATTTGTCCCCAAAGCATATCTCTATACAGAGCCCGTCTTACCTGCAAAGAACTGACTATGGGGAGGGATAGGGGACAGAGGAGTGGCAGTGGCTGCAACTCACTCTGGCTGAACGTTCTCTGGGTTTCAGAAGGCGCTTTATTCTTCATACTAGTGCCTTTGTCGCCCCTCCACACTCCTGTTCTCCTACCCAGCTAGTTCAAGGGTTATTTGTGGAATATATGGTCACTGGAATGATTCACCCTATATGGTGAGTCCTTGGGTTGGCCCCTTCTTTTCCTTGGGTTAAGCCAGAATGGAACTATCTATGCTGTCTAGTTGCATTGGTGTCAATCTCCAGTCTTCTTTCCTTCCTAGAGAAGAGGACAGACAAATCAGCCGTCTCAGGGGCTATCCGACTACAAATCAGTGTGGAGATCAAGGGGGAGGAGAAAGTAGCCCCATACCACGTGCAGTATACGTGTCTCCATGAGGTGAGCCAGCCCTTGGTAGGTGGGGGATCAGAAAGCAGTGCTGGGAGAGGCCTTTGGCCATAAGTAGGATTGCTAGGTGGTTGGAGATCCGAGGCCCGTTTTAAATTTTATCCTTGACTCACTCTGCTACCCTGGAGAGCCCAAGTGATTGAACCCAGACTACATTCTCTTCCACTAATGTCAGAACAGCCTACTGGGGCCATAGGAGGAACTGAGCAATGACTGGAAGGACAGAATTTCTGTGGAACCTTCCTTATTCACATTCTCCTGGGCTTTACCACCAAGTTTGTTTTTGTTTTTCATATGTATTTAACCCATTCCCTTTCTCTGCTCTGTCTTCTGCAGAACCTTTTCCATTACCTCACAGACATTCAGGGCAGTGGAGGAGTCCGCATCCCTGAAGCTCGAGGAGACGATGCCTGGAAGGTGTACTTTGATGAGACAGCCCAAGAAATTGTGGACGAATTTGCCATGCGTTATGGCATTGAGTCCATATATCAGGCCATGACGTGAGTCTCTGCTGGGGCGCTGGGAAGTGGCTACTAATCACTGGGGTGTCTAACTAAGGCACACTGACATGGTGGGCAGGTCCTTAGTGGGTTAGCATGCAGTGATTCCTTTCCTTTCCTCTCTGAGCTGGGTGGGATAGTTCTGTACCCCAAGGCAAGAAGGGTATACGTAGAAAGGGAATGTTTTGTCAGTAACTCACAGAAAAGGGAATGTTTTGTCAGTAACTGCCTCAGAGTTGAGGGAACTCTGCAGGGAAAAAGGCATGTGAGAGTATGCAAGGACAAATCTGCCTAGACATCACAGGCCTGAGCAGACAGGATATGTGTGCTCATGTACATGTGTTTGTGATAGCCGGTCTGGCCTAGACTGGCCTGGGGGTCAAAGAGGACACTAAACTGCAGGGAAAGCAGCTGTGTGTGGAGTCGATCAGGACTCTTTAAATGGGAATTCCAAATTGCTATGAGAAGCAGAGTAGCCTTTCTGTTAGTGATGCTGCCCCTAGAGCTGTGCACAGAAAGCAGCCCTAGGCAAGCAGAGGGCAGCAATTGCCCTGACTGTGCTTCACTTAGCCCATAAACTTTTAATGAGTTCCTGCTTGGCTTTTGCTGCAAGCCCTGAAGAGTCTTTGAGGCTGAGGGTGCTGTGTTTTTCAGGCACTTTGCATGTTTATCATCCAAGTACATGTGTCCTGGTGTGCCAGCAGTGATGAGCACCTTACTGGCCAACATCAATGCCTACTATGCCCACACAACTGCCTCTACCAATGTCTCTGCCTCTGATCGCTTCGCAGCCTCCAACTTTGGGGTAAGTATCATGTAAACACATATGTCTGCATTGGTTACCAATTAATAAAGTTTGATTTTCTTTTTTTTTTTTTTTCAAGACAGAGTCTCGCTCTGTTGCCCAGGTTGGAGTGCAGTGGCGCGATCTTGGCTCACTGCAACCTCCACCTCTTGGGTTCAAGCAATTCTCCTGCCTCAGCCTCCTGAGTAGCTGGAATTACAGGCACATGCCACCACGCCTGGCTAATTTTTTTTTTTTTTTTTTTTTTTTTTTTTTTAAGCAGAGACGGTGTTTCACCATGTTTGGTCAGACTGGTCTCGAACTTCTGACCTTGTGATGCACCCACCCTGGCCTCCCAAAGTGCTGGGATTACCGGCTTGAGCCACCACACTCGGCCAAGTTTGATTTTTCTTGGCTGGTCCTGTAGAGTTGCTTGATGTGCTTAAAATTCAGGTAGCTACCATTTTGATAGACGAACCTTGTTTCCTTATGGGTATGCAGACTATACTAATAGCCTCTCCACAGACACAAAGAAGAGAAGGTGGTTGGGGGTGGTACCACCTGGGCTTGGCCAGAATCTCTCTGGGCCAACAACTTGGTTGAGTTACCATATTCCATATTCTTCAGTCTTGCAGGTCCACAAATGGACTTTTAAAAATCTTGTTCAATCTGTCTGTGACGGATTCATATTACTTGAGTTTATATGAGACTGATGTCTAAGCAACGATGCCAGTGTGCACTTGAACCTGTCCCTTTTCTAGTGTCTGGACTGTTTTCCCTATCCAGGGTGTGCCCTTCCTGGGTTAAGGTACCTGAGAAGTTGAGTCATTACTCAAAATGTCACCTGACATTAATTCAGTATAAACTAGATAAAATCATTCTGACCCAACACAAAAATGACCATTTTGGGCATAAAGTTACTGGTATCACCCCAATTCACTGAGTCTGTGAGCCCTGATTTTTTGGTACTAATGAATTTTTTGTTGTTGATAGAGTCTTTCTGTAGATGTGTAATGTATTAAGCCAGTCAAATATTTGTTCCATTTTGCCTCATCTCATTATGTATTGACTTAATCAATATCTACTCATATAATCAATATATGAGTTCTAGGAGTGGGATGCCAACATCCTGCAGGCATATGATTCCATGTTTAATTATATTTTTTCTATGAAAATCAGCTATTAAAATAGTATATGTTAGATATTTTAACATTTAAAAAGTATACACTATGGGAAGTGTGTGTGGAATGTGGTTTAAAGAGAGACCCCTTCAGGCCTGCCCTGTTATCTTTCAAATGCATCAGTTTCTCTCTCCCATCATCACTGCTAGGCTGTGGCTGTATAACTGTTATGTACTACCCCGAGATAAGTCAGGAGACCTCAGACTCAAGAGAGAATGTGTTTGGAGTTTCTTCTTATCTAACTGAGATAAGTTACAGTCCCAAAGGGATAGAGATGCACTGGTCCTGCCCTATTGACTCTTAGATAATCCAAGGAGCCTTTTCTCCTCCCAGGGACTTGGCTTTTTCCTTGCCAGTGTGAGATTTCCCAGATTGGGACAGAGCTGCAAAGAGATAGAACAGGGACTATCTATCTCATTACACTGTTTGTTGTTCTTCCCATGGGCAGGGATGTGTCTCCAGCCCAATGCCTCCCAACTCTTTCTACTCATCCAGAGGTGGTTCTGTTTCTGTTGTAGTTTAGGGGACTCAGACACAGGTTCTCTTTTTCTTCCCCATTATTTGTTTCTCACCCTCAGAAAGAGAGATTTGTAAAACTGCTGGACCAGCTACACAACTCACTGAGGATCGACCTCTCTACATACAGGGTGAGTGAAGACATGGCTGTGGGCAGGATAATAGATATCAAGCACAGTCCCAGAGAGACTGTAGGCCAATCTTGGCTGTAAAGATTGAGGCCAGGGAAAACTGGTCTGTGTCATCACATCCACGCAAATGGCCAATGCTGCTGACACCTGTGGTTCTTTTAACTCCAGGGACCATGTGGTGTATAAATAGCAGCAGGTATGGTTACTTTTTATGGACAGTTGGCTTTCCAACCTCACTGTTAACACTCTACTAAACTCTCTGGTGACATTCTCATTAGGGAGTTTCCTGAGGATAATCTCTTCCAGGAGTACCCTTTTAAAAAATTAGATACCTAATTACATTTCTCTTTTGCATTTTTCCATACTCTCCTCATTTTCCAGGGGAGGTGTGAGAATCTGGCTAGAGGGAGAGAGAGTAGCTTGGCTTTTGCAAGTAATTTGTATCAGAGAGCATGTCCATTTGTAGTATAAAGGGAGGAAATAGGTGTAGTAGGAGGATGGGTACTTGGGACAGGACAGGATAAGGAAATGGGCAGTTTCTCATTTCCTCCTATGTTAGATCTTAGAATGGCTTCATTACTTGCTTTAAAGTGCTGTGAATTTTCAGAACAGGCAATATACGCACATTAAAAAGTAAGTATAAAAACAACCTTAAAGTTAAAAAGAAGTGAGGTTTTAATTGTCTGCTCGAGTGCCCTCCATTTGCACAAATAATGGACAACTGACTGTATGTCTTATATTTGGCATAGAAGTAGCCATTTGAAGGTTTAAAAACTGACCATTAATGTGAAGACAGGCTCAGCATCTCCCTTCAGCTCTTCATAGCAGCTCCCTCCTAAGACTCATGTCAAAGTGAATGAAGTAAGGATGGCTGGAAATTCCTAAGGAACTCACTCCAAAAGCAGTTCTGCTCAGAGATCTGCCATCTGCTGGCTGCAGAACAGTAGAAGAGCTGGGGTCTACTGTACAAAAAGTACAGGTCCTGGACCTCAGTTTGGCCTGTAGTGTGGCTCCACTTATATTCCAGGATATATAGTTAGATTGTAACTTTTGAAGAAGTCACTGTTGGTGTGTAAGAATCTTCATCCAAGAAAAGCATGTGTGTAAGTGTGTGTGCGCCTGTGTGTTCCTTTGTACAAGTTCTTAAACATTGCATGGGAAGGAGGACTGGAGGGAGGGTGTGTTGCTTTCTAGGGTGGAGAGTATTAACCCCTGCTTTTGGCAAGAGCCTGTTTGCATCAATAGAAAAAAGAGAAGGAGACCTGTAACATTGCAGTGTTTTTGGCCAGCTCGACTAGAGAAAAACCCAGTAGGTAGCAATTAGGGAAGCTTTTGATATCATCACTTTTGGCAGGGAAGGTTTTCATAGTCCTCTGTTCCTTTCTTACATTTGCTTGATTTGCAACAGAATAATTTCCCTGCTGGGAGTCCTGAACGGCTTCAGGACTTAAAATCCACAGTGGATTTGCTGACCAGCATTACTTTCTTCAGAATGAAGGTAAGAAATGGACTGGGTTTGGGTGGTTCTGGGCTGGAGACCTGGCTACAGGAACATGAAAAATAAGAATCACTGGGCAGAGTCTGAAGCCACAGGATTCATCACCTCTAAACTTACATTTCTGTGTACCTGTTCCCTGGGTTACTTCTGAGAGAGCACAAGGACTATAAATCCATGAGGATGGGCTGGAAGTTTTCCCTGTCAGCTATCCTGGCAATTCATCACAGGGAAAGGTCTAGGGACTCAGAGAGGGATGAAAGAATCTAGAGTAGGTTTGGAGTAGTGCTAGGAGAATATCCCACCCAGGTGAGCAGGACCTTGGGCCCATATTTCTTCTTTTAATTGGCAGGTACAAGAACTGCAAAGCCCTCCAAGAGCCAGCCAGGTGGTAAAGGATTGTGTGAAGGCCTGTTTGAACTCCACATATGAATATATCTTCAACAACTGCCACGACTTATACAGCCACCAGTACCAGCTGGTAAGAGGTTCGGGATCAGGTGGGGCCAGCTATCAGTGGCTCTCTAGAGCCTCAGCTTTCCTTCACAATGGTGGTGGAAAGGCGCTCAGGACAAAGTACTTGATGTTCTTAATGGTAAGTGAGTTGTGGAGTATGAACCATGTGGACCTTGAGATATGTGGATGGAAAGAGACCCCTGGGCAATGGCAACAATAATGATGTTGAAGAAAGTAAACCTAAATTCATGGGGTTCAGGGGTTGAGTAGGTGAATTCTCAGTCCATCCCAGAGTCTTTTTTCTCCCTCAAGTTTAACTTTATTCTGACTCTTGCAGACTCTTGTAAGTTCTGGGCTTCCTTCCTCTGGAATCTGAAGTGGTCTCTGAGCTGCTGACTCCTGGAAGGTTTACTTTTCCCTCTGATTACTTCTCTCTGAAATGTGTGGTTCTTCTGGGCCGTATTCATCCACTGGCTATCAAGGCTGACCCTATCCTTCTGTGAGGCTGAACTACTTCACTTGTTTTAGCCTGGCACCCTAAGTCAGTACCTGGTGACTTAGTGCGTTTTCTCAGATCCTTCTAACAGTATCCCCGATCCATGCTCCCAACTTATTTCAAAGCCAGAACTTACTTCTAGCTCCAATTACTCATTACAGTTCCAGTTTTAGGAGTTTCTTGCTGACCATACATTTGCAGAGTGGATTCCCTTCAGTACAACAAATATATATTGAATGTTTGTTCTAGGCCACGTCTGAGGAGAGCACAGTGCTCCTTCAGTAAGTCTGCAGTCTCATAAACATATATATAACTCTAATCAAAGGAGTCTGGTTGAAGGGCCTTGAAAAAGGGATAAAATTAAAGGAATCCCAAGGAGAAAGAGTCTTTTCCCATTCTTGATCAGATACCGGAAAAAGCTACATAAAATAAGGAACATTTGAGATAGACCTTAAAAGGCAGTGGGATTTGGACAACCAATGATGGCAGGACAACCTAAATGTCTTGGACACTTATCTTTAGGTAAATCCAATTTGTAAAGCTTCCTAGGAGCACCCTCATAAAGACTAAGATCTTGTTCCTACTGCCTCTTCTCATTCCCAAGTGTACTTTCTGTGCCAGCCATGTATTTAAGCCTTCTTCCTTTTAAGGTTTATAAAGCCTCCTATTGGTTCTGAAGTCCATGGGAGGTTTTCCTGAGGACTTTGTTTTACTTGACACATTCTGTCATCCGTGTATGAAGTCTCTCTGGTCAAGGCAAGACACTGTTCTCAGGTTTGATCTTTCAACTATGCAGAGGTCTGGTTGAATATTTGGTCTCTATTCCCCAGCATGAGAATGAACTAGACTTTGAAAGAGAGTTCATAAACTATTCGGGGATACTCTTTAGCCTTTGTGTTTTGGTATCTGCTTTTTACTTTCTTTCAATTTCATTTTTTCCTTATTCCATATTTACACTGGCATAAACTCTTCATGTCTTTTAAAATTTCCATCTGTTGACCTTCAGTCGTTGGTTTATTCATCCATCCATTCACTTAACAGAGCATTAGAGGCAAAGTTGAGTAAGAGGCATTTCAGTCTTTGGGGATCTCATTGTTTAGTGGAGGTCAGAGCAAATTACTACGTTTATTTTTTGTTGTTGTTATTTTGTTGTTACTATGTTTTACTGTAGTCCTAGTTTTCTGATACATCTACACCAAAGGTTCAGCGAGCGTGCTCTGGGAGCCCATAACAGGGATGTCAGGAAAACCTCTCAGAAGAGGCAAAGTTCAATCTGAATTTTGAGGAAGGAGTAGGAATTAACTAAAGAAAGGGGCTGGAGGGAAGGGGCATACCACGGAGAGCAAATAGAATGCTTAGAGGCACAGAATTATGTATAAGCATGTTAATTTAAAGAAATATAAGCAGGGCCGCGCAGTGGCTCACGCCTGTAATTCTAGCACTTTGGGAAGCCGGGGCGGGTGGATCACTTGAGGTCAGGAGTTTGAAAGTAGCCTGGCCAATATGGTGAAACCCCATCTCTACTAAAAATACAAAAATTAGCCAGGCATGGTGGTGGGCGCTTGGAATCCCAGCTACTTGGGAAGCTGAGACAGGAGAATTGCTTGAACCCAGGAGGCAGAGGTTGCAGTGAGCCGAGATCATGCCGCTGCACTCCAGCCTGGGCGACAGAGTGAGACTCCATCTCAAAAACACAAAATAAAAATAAAAGAAGTATGGCAATTTAGGGTACTTACAGCATCAGGCTGTGGGATTCAGCTATCTGGGATCAAATCTTAGTTCTGCTCTTTACAACTGCATGACTCCGCACAAGTCATATAACCTTGCTGCCCTTCTCTCTCCTCATCTGTAAATGAAGGTGATAATAATTTCTACTCAATGGAGTCATTGTGAGGATTAGATAGGATAATGTGTATAAAGGTCTTAGCAGAGTGTGTGGCACATAAGCTGGAACAAAAAGAGTTGTATGAGGTTGAGAGAGAGTCATATTCTGGAAGATATAAACTAAGGAATTTAAACTGTATTGAATGCCGTTGAAGGGCTTTAAGCAGAGGAGTAACACACTGAGATTTTCTTTGTAGAAAGATCACTGATAGCTGCAAGGAGGAGGGATTGGATTGAAGATCAAAGACCAGTTCAGAAATCCTTGAATGATAAGAGCCTGAGCCAGGACAATGACAGAAAAATAAAAGGAAGAGATGTATTTAAGTGATATTAAAGATTCTGTCCTGGTTTCTAGTAACTTCTTGATAATGCAGGCTTATTAAGGACTGTGGAAGCTTTCCAGTGGCATGTGACATCCCACATAAACACAATATGTGTTCCAGGCTTCCTGTGGTGACTCCTACCTCACTTTTCTGGGCTGTGACTATAGAGTGATTTTTTATTCTATATTTCAGGTAAAGCTTTCAGGCTTGCCTCTTCCCAAGTAAGGCCCTTTCTTATCCAGCTAGGCAAATAGCTTCCTAAATGCAGTTCTTCCCCCTACTAACTTCAGGGGGTCAAGGGAAGTCCTACTCCACTGAAAGGCTGAAATGCACCCTAGATCTGTTCAGTAGCTCCTGCAGAAGTTGAAAGAGCTCAGAACTGAGATGTGTACGTGTGTGGTCGTGGTATGGTGTCAGTAGAGGAACACCACCAGAAGAGGAGGGCTACCTGCCTGTAGGGACTGCATAGAACTAGACCTATTAGTGAGGCTAGAAGGACTGTTTCCTTTAACCAGGGAGTTACTCTGCCCGTAGCAACTGAGAGAAGGAAGAAGGAGGATGGGCATCTTTATATCTCTTGGACTGACCAAGTTTATCAGAGCAGTGCCCTGGGGCTGAGGACAGAACTTCTCAGCGACAGGCTCCCTGTGTTCTGGGATCTCACAATAGTCATTCTTACAGAACAGGGATAGTCTTGTGGAAGACAGGCTCTAGGAGAGGAAAGGTCCTTGATTCTAGAGGAAGAGGTATAGGGAGGAGAAGAGAAAGAGGATCATTGGAGACACCCTTTACATTCTACTCTGACTCTCTCTCCCCCTCTCTCACTGTGTCCTCTGGATCAAGAAGCAGGAGCTACCTCCAGAGGAACAAGGGCCCAGCATTCGGAACCTGGATTTCTGGCCCAAGCTCATCACACTTATCGTGTCAATCATAGAGGAAGATAAGAATTCCTACACACCTGTTCTGAACCAGTGAGTATCACCCTCTTTGGCCCTGTCTGTTGGTGATTGGTCTGTCCATCTGTCTAACAACCTCTTTCTTTCCTGTCTCTGTATGTTTGCAGTGCCACCTCTTCTTCCTGTCCGTCCATCTGTCCCTCTGTCCCTTGTATCTGTCTGGGTAACTGTTTCTGGAGACAGGTGTGGAAACATAATGGGGGTCCCTGCCCAGACTGAGCCAGCCTCCCTGGAGTGAGAGGCTTCTGGGACTGTGGCTGCCATAGGAGCCCCAGGGGATCCAGAGACCATGTGTGTATGTGTCTGTCCACTGTGAATGAAGTGGGCCTTCTTATAGCCCACCCCTCCCTTGCCCTTTCTCCTCCATCTTATTTAGCCTGTGCCTGCTTTCCAGCCACTGCCTGGAGAGTCTCTGCCTCTCAATTGCCTGCCTTCTGGGCATCTTCTGCCCCCAGGCCCATCTTGCCTATGGGGATCCCTTCTGCCCCCACGTGTCCTCCCACTGGCCCCTGGGCCCCTTTTCTCCAGATTGGACCTAGCCCTGTACTCTAAGCTTCTCCTTTCTCTAATATGACTTCCAAGAACTAGGCACTTTCGCCTTGAAATAAATCAAATGACTCTTGCCTTATTCTCTGACTGTGGTTTCTTCTGTCATCCAGGTTTCCTCAGGAGTTGAATGTGGGAAAAGTCAGCGCAGAAGTGATGTGGCATCTGTTTGCCCAAGACATGAAATATGCATTGGAGGGTAAGGATCTGTCCAAATCGGTGGGCTGCCAGGCTCCTAGCCCAAGCTCCTCGTTCACTGTCCCTTTCCTCTTCCGGACAACTACAACAACTTGTAGTTGTTTGGTGAGTGGTATAGTGAGAAACTAAAGGAATTTTAGGCCTGGTGGGAGGTAGGCCCCAGGAGACCTTGGTAGGCAAAGTTGCAGCCAAAGCAAATATGAAAATGGCTGTGTGGCTGTAGGTTCCTCCTTCCAGCTTTGGAGCAACTGCCTGTTCAAGATCTTCCCAGCCCAGAGATGAACTTCTCCCATGGTGGGTATTCTGAGGTTATCCACTTCCTGGAGAATGGTCTTGTGAAACTTCAGTTTTAAATAATCAGAACCTTAAATATACAGATAGATATAATTGTTTTCTTATGTTGGGGACTCTCTGGCCTGGCTTTTCTTGAAAGCTGCTCTGGTTTAGTATGACAATGCCAGGAAGATACTTCTTCCCTCACTTCTCCTATAGAGCAGGGCCACCGGCAAATTATTATTCATCTTACTCATTCAGCTTGTTCTTTTATTCATTTCCTACCTTGGTCCACAAAGATATCATTCCATACCTGTATCAGACCTTCCCATCTGTACCCATCTGTACTCACCTATTCAGCAGCCTTTCCTGCCTATTTAGGTGTGGTAGTCTGTCTCCTCATTCTGTGAAAGCCCATCTAGGAGGAGGAGCCATCTACGAAGCAGAGTCCGGCATCTGTTACTTTGGGTGGGATGGGAGGGCAGATGGGCCACCGCTTAGACTCATGAATGTGTGAAGGTTTAGAAATCAGTGGTCTTGAGATTGAAAGATTCTGAGATCTGTGTTCACATTTG